GACGTAAAGGTAAAGCAAGAAAAGGCTGATAATGTCAAAACATTGCAAGTAAAACATTACGGGGCAAAGTGGGAAGAAGATGATGAGTTGTTGTACCTACTATAAATTTAGAAGAAACTCCAGATTTATGTGGTCCAGTTCAGAATTTTCCCACATTTATTGTATAGTTAAATTTTATAACCATTAAAGGAAAAAATACAATTATTTTTTTGTTTATTTTTTTAATCTCCTTAAACGTTTACAACAAAATGAGCAATCTCCAGCAATTCATATCAAAGTCAGCAATCTCCAATTTATAATTATAGATTTCACCTATACTATGCATCCTGGAAACCTTGTAGTTGGCCACTAGACTAACAACAACAATATTTCAATATAATAAAAAAAAATACAAATCAAAAATATAAAATACCAAAATCAATTATCTCAATTTATTCAGTTTTAGTCTGACGGGAGATTGTTGACTTTGCTCTGACAGGCCTCAATTAGAACCAATAAAATATCAGTATTCAATAGTTGCGCATTTTATCACAGCGACAATATTTTTTTTTTCACCTTGATTACACGTTACTAAGGGTTTTGACGCTTTTCTTTATTTGACATATAAATCCTGTGTTTGTTATATGGTTAAAATATTGAATTCAAAAACTCTTAAAGATTGGTAGTGTGCCGGGTGGTGTAAACGATAAAAAAATTGAGGCAAGTTTGAATATTTCCCCAGTAGCACAAAGATATTGGCCCAATATTCGTTTGATGATATTGGGCCAAAATATCTTTTTCTAGCATGGTCCAATATTGAAACCCAACATTGGCCCGAAGTTGTTTGCTTATGGGTGACAATAAAAGACAACAAAAAGCCATTGTAATTGTAGTACACATTTGTAGTACCTACATATTTAATAATGGCCGTAAAATAAATTATAAAATTTTATATTTAAATTTATTTCTTTCAAAATTTACACTATACTAAAAAATAGCAATTTTGGTGGATGCGCCGGGATAATTAAAACAAATTGTAAGATTATGTAAGGTTATTTATAAAAAAGTAGACTTAATATAGTTTTGCTCTGAGGTACCGATCTGTAATATTATTAATAATTATAATTATTGTTATTAGTAGGCCATAGACATACATCTTAATATTCTACAACAAAGTCACCTCTTGCCATTGTTATCTTCCAATTATCTAAAGTTTCGCATCGCTTGAAAAAACCGGAACGAATCGCGGTCAGCGTCGATTTCCGGAAGTCCTGCGGAGTGGTGCCGGGTTTGAAAGGAGAGAAAAAGAAAAAATACGAAGCGGGCACGCACCGAACAAAGAGACGCTGCGCCCTGGCCTGTACAGTGCGCCGCAAACCGTAACCGTACAGCTTCCTGTATCCGCTTGTTGGCTACGCATCTTGCAGCATACAAAACTTCACGGATTTGTACGTTGTACACGTATGTGTGTTACGTCGGTATTGGGTTGCGTGATTTTGTAGGAAGAATCGGAAATTAAATGTTTTCCTACATTTTTTACACTAAACACTTTATTCCGTCTCTTGCACTTTATTGGCTTTAGTTAATATTTTATTCAGGTGGGTATGTTTTACATTTATTTTTATTTTCTTAATGATTATTTATTTGTTTTTTATGACTTGTTCTATATCTGTAAAGGTATTTGGATTAATAAATGATTTTTTATCTACACTGCGCGTCAAAATTAACGCATAAGTAAAAAATTCTAACTCTAAAACGCCTTCACCAATTTTGGATAAAAATACTTTAACTTATAAGATATATATATCTCAGTTTACGTATTTAAGGGTTTTTCGAAAAAATATCCTTAAAGCCCTTTTATTTAATAATAAAAAAACGCTAAAAAACGCTATAAAAAACGCTTTTATATGGAATTTTGTTTTAATAAATAAAAAGTAAGTATACCCTGAAAATGTTGTACAAATCAAACGTCAAAAATGACCAGAAAAATAATCAAAAAGAGGTCATTTTTACCGACTTTGAAGCGGTGTATCTTCGTTACTGTTGGTTTGATTTGTACAAAATTTTCAGGGTATACTAACAAAAATACGGTCTTTAACAGCATGTTTTTTATTTATTTTATTTTTTATAAGAAAATGCCCTAAAATTTATTTTTCGAACGTTTTTTTATTATTAAATAAAAGGGCTTTAAAAATATTTTCTTGAAAAGAAGGAAAAGAAAGAAAGTATTCCTATACAAAATTACGTATTACGTTAGTTTAAAACTGAGATATAAGTTGAAGTATTCTTATACAAAATTTCATAAAGATTGGTAAAGGCGTTTTAGAGTTAAAATTTGTTTACTTATTATGCATTAATTTTGACGCGCAGTGTATTATTTACTTATTATTATATTATAGCTTATAACACTGTAGGTAAATTTCAAACTTTTAAAAAGACACATAAAAACGCCGGGACACGTAAACCTAATTTTTGGGTGTAGAATTTAGTGGTGCAATCCGTTTTTTAAAGTTAGCTCGTTTTCTCAAGATATTAATTATTTAAGTTTTTTGTTTCACCATTTTGCTATATTTTTAAAGAAAAATATAGCATAACTCGTTTTAAAATGTCTGTATTTATTTTTAATTCATAAATTTTTGTCTCTTAAATTAATAACATTCGTGTTTAAGCCGATATTATTCATATTTTTTTAATTTTATTAGATTTTTCGCATATTTCTTTATTTGTAATTAAATTTGTTTTAGTAAATTTTATTGTCTGGTATTAGTGGGAAATATTCGAATGTAATAAAACTTGAGAATTTCATTTACTAGTAAATAGACTAAGTACAGCCTGTATAAATGTTGTTTTTAGTTTATACGATTGAAATAATTCTTTGCTACAAAGTTTTGTGGTTAAGTAAGTATAAATATGTAGCTAAAAATTTTGCATGCTCATTTTGATTTTTCTGAAAAACAACTTTCAACCGAATCCGATAAAGCTGGTGAACGATTTCATCAAACCATTATGACATTTGAAGATCGATTTTCTGGCAAAAAATTCGACTCGATGCTTGCTGATTTTTGTTGGTCAATCTTCAAAGAGGCATAAAATTAAACATTTTTTACATTCTTTACAACATGTTATTTAAGTAGTTTTTTTATTTTTTTAAATATAAATTAATTTTAATATTTTATACTACCAACTGACAAAAAAAGTTTATTATTGATAAATAATAATTTTTTAGAAATAAATAAATTTTAATAGATTTTAAAATTGGAATTGGCCAAAAATGTTAATTATAAATAAATAAAATAAATAAAGATATTTTAAGAGGGATTATATAGGCTATATATATATATATATATATATATATACATATTAGGGTGTGTCATTTTTAGGCGATATTTTTTTTTTCGCTGTTATACCAGAAAATCTAATACTTTATAGAAAATAAAAAATTATGCCTCCGGGTAAAAGGTTCTAAGTGCAATAGCGGCTTAGCTCATTTAAAAATTCAATTTCCCATTGAAATAACACAGAAAATTTTTTTTCTTCGTTTTAATTAGATTTTTCGCTGTTAAAAACTTTTTCCCCAAAAACATTTTTATAGCTTTTGTAGGAAATTAAATTCTCTACAAAATCATCCCTTTGCTCGAAGACCGTATAACCAGTAGTTTCAGAGTTATAGCGCTGGAAATATAAACTTTTATAAAAATAGACCTCAAATTCCATTTTATTTTTAAGGGATGATTTTGTAGAGAATTTAATTTCCTACAAAAGCTATAAAAAAGTTTTTAGGGAAAAAAATTTTTAACAGCGAAAAATCTAATTAAAACGAACAAAAAAATTCTTCTGTGTTATTTCAATGGGAAATTGAATTTTTAAATGAGCCAAACCGCTATTGCACTTAGAACCTTTTACCCGGCGGCATAATTTTTTATTTTCTATAAAGTATTAGATTTTCTGGTATAACAGCGAAAAAAAAAATATCGCCTAAAAATGACACACCCTAATACAAAATTTTTTATTTGTTATTTTGCTATATATGTATTACATATATAGCAAAATAACAAATAAAAAATTTTTTAAACAAAAAATTTCAAATATCTTGAGAAAACGACCTAATTTTAAAAAACGGATTACACCACTGAATTCTACACCCAAAAATTAGGTTTACTTGTCCCGGCGTTTTTTTGTGTCTTTTTGGTATTTCTCAAAATGTACACAAATAATAAATAGAGCCCGAATTTTTAGGTCAAAAAGTGATAAAAGGTTCCTAAATTAGGTGATATTTTTAATAAAATAGGTATTTTAGGTACCTATATTTTATGTATTTTATAAGTACATAAAATATAGGTACCTAAAATACCTATTTTATTAAAAATATCACCTAATTTAGGAACCTTTTATCACTTTTTGACCTAAAAATCCGGGCCTTAATAATAAACCAAAAAGTTACAAAAACTTAAATATTAAATATCTTAAGAAAACGAGCTAACTTTAAAGAACTGATTACACCCCTGGATTCTACGCCCAATAATTAAGTTAACGCGTACCGACGATTTTTTGTGTCTTTTTGATGTTATTATTATTATTTAAATATTTTTTAGAATAATTAGTTTTTTCGAAGTCATCGAATTTAATTACCAAAAAGTCAAAGAATGGATAATTTAAAACCTTGATAAATTTGCAACCTGTAGGTGATTAAATAAATGTTTACATGAATTTTCCATTAAAAAATTAATACCCGTTTCTACACATAAATTGTTTAGTGCTAAGAATTGTAAAAATATTTATGATTGTGTTTAAGTTTTATCTATTTTCGTTTAGTTTGCTAAAAGTGCTCCTTTATTCATAAAATATACAAAAAATCGAAAGTTTATTAGCCTAGAAAATAGAATGTGTTTGACACTATTTTTTATTCCACTTTCTCGTCAAACACCAAAATCTTTTAACTTGTTTTAATTATACAAAAATGTTTATACAAACATATGTCCCAAAATATTTTTTAATTAAATTATTTAAATGTTTTAACTTACCCGAGTCACTATAACCATAATGGCCACTCATGAAAGCCTTTTATCTGGAAAAGAAAGTTTGGCAAAATTATTTAATACTTATTTTAAATTATAACTTAAACAAATTTTAGTCGCACATTTTATTGTTTTATTTGATAATAATAGCTATTTGCATTTGTGAAATTAAACAAAAGTGGTAACTGTAAATTGGGAAAATTTTTTAGATATGCCTGATGTATTAACAATTTATAGTCCAAAACCTTGAATGGAACATACAAGGTAAAACATCATTGTACACTATGATAATTTATTAAATTATTGGACTGCATATGTCATAATATAATGAACAAATTAAACATAATAACAATACAAAGGTAGAGTGTAGACGCAATTTATTTTTAGTATTATTATTAAAAACTTTTTATTGTTCGTTATTGATAATGATATACGTGTATTTATATAAACAATTAACATGACTTAAAAGAGTAAATTAAAGAAAGTTCGAGAGACTTTTCCTTTTAAAACATTTTTAAAATGCTTGGAATTGAAAAATATATTATTATGGATAAAGAAAACTACTTGAACAAATGCTACATAGCATTCCTGGTTTAAAATTGGTAATTTGATTTAATATTTATGCGGTGGAATCTTACAAATGTTTCACTGTATTTTCCTTAATGGCGTAAACACCAAGAAAATAACTAAGAATATATTAGTAATAATAACATGTATGTTATTAATAATATTTAATATTTATTAAATACCTACTTGGAAATAAAAATATAAATTGGATGATAATGTATTCGTAAGGAAAATACAGACTTGTTAGGTGACATCAAACTGTAGGTATATCTTTCTTTATTTTGAAAGAGGATATTTCATATTAAGTCGTGCAGTATTTAATATACTGTATATATTACTCCAAAACGAAAAAGGTAGTTTACTCTTAATAATATTTCATGTTTTCTTGTTTTTCGACCCCCCTGTATAATATTTTCAAATTTAAAGTATGGCAATAGACTTTTCAAAAAAAGAAAACTTTTTAGGAAGAACGACTTTTGGTCGAAAAATTAAATTTTTAGTCCATTTGTCCTCTTGGGCAATGTCCACTGGATATTTTATTGAAATTTTTTAAGTATTGATTTTTGTAGGTACCATAATTTGGCATTGAATTTGTGGCACAAGCAGTGGCGTCCCTACGGGTGATGTTATTTCTTTTTATAGAAACAAAATTTGACACATTTTTAAAATAGGCAGTTGATTTACGAAAAAAGTCCTCCTAAAGATTTTTCGTAAAATGTTTCTTTATACAGTAAAATTGCAATTTCAATTCACTGTAATTAAATTGTATCACATTTCTCATATACAGACTATCTAATATTTTTTTTTACATTTCTGGAATCAACAGTTTATTTAAGAAAACATAAAACGTAACATTTTAATGAATAAATTAATTATTAGTAATTTATAGCAACAAATCAATAATATACATATATATTTTGAAATAAATTAAATTAAAAATAGTTTCAACAAATGGTTTTTAACTTAGGGTGTAGTGTCCATTTTGTGAGAACTGGACAAATACCTTGTCACATTGCTTTTGTTTCGAGCCTGCTACACAACCAAGCATCGACAGACAGCCTATTTTGGTCTTATTAGACCTCATCAGTGACGGACAGCCGTGGTGTGTAAGGACGCTCGAAACACGCTGCCAAGAGCCTTATATAGGCAAACAAGTACAGCGACAGCGGTGAGATGTGATCAGCCACCGTCTACCGTGCGGCACTGATCATCAGTGACTGATGAGATCTAATAAGTGGAGGCTGCACAGCTCTGCAACACCCAGTGGGCTACGTCAGTTTGGACAGTAGACTGTGGCTGATTCCATCTCACCGCTGTCGCTGTGTAGTTGTATTCATAAAAACCGTGCAAGGAGTAGTGCGCAAGTATCTTACTCTCTAAAAATAAATTAGTCAAAAATGACTAATTTAATAGTTATTAGTGGCTGCTTTTTCACTTGTACCATGGTTAACCATGGAATACCATGGTATCCCAAAATTTAATTCTTATGTAAAATTGAATCCGAAAATGTCGTCAAAAGTTAAAAAAGTAGAACAGTTTTTGAGATATAGTAAATTTTCCATTTAATATGGAATTGACTATATCTCAAAAACTGCTCCACTTCCATAATTTTTGACGGTATTTTCGGATTCAAGGGACAATTTTACATAAAAATTGGCTGTTAAATTTTGGGATACCATGGTATTCCATGGTTAACCATGGTACAAGTGAAAAAGCAGCCACACCGAGAGAAATAGTCTGGGTATAGTTAAAAAATGATTTGTTTTAATATATTTGGTAAAATATAATAAATAATTCTTCTATATACCAAATCAGCACTTCTTAGTAACTATATTCAGAATTACTTAAGTTTATTTTGAAAAAATGATTTGGTTCACTGTATTTGGTTATAAAAAACAAATATAGTTTAATAATAACAAACCATTTTCAAATAGAGTTTGTATGAATAAATCGAGTTGTTGCTTGCTTATAAAAAACAAATGCAGGATAAAACACGTTGATTATTCGCCGTAGATGCTTTAGTTCGGCCATTGTGTTAGTTTGTGCAAAGGGAGTGGACGCGTCCGGACGTGCTGTATAGTTTATACCTAAATTAGGTAAATATGGATACATTTTTGATTGAAAATAATTGTTTTTTAAGTTTAAGAATTTTAAATTAAGATGTTTAGTTTACTTAAGTTTAAGATGTTTAGTTTACCAAAAAAAAAAGTTTTTGTTTGCAAACATGTTTTTTAAGGAAAATGTTTTTTATTTTTTATTAAAATAAAATGTATTGTTATCAATGGCCGAGTGTTATTTAATATAGAAAACCCTAATTTTTATAAAAACGCTAAATTATAAAAATATATTTTTTGTTTTAATAATACAGGGTGTTTCAGACTTGTGGTGCCAAAAGCTCGGAGGAGATTCCTCTCATCAAAATATGAAAAAAAAATTTCCATGAACAAGTGTCCGAAAATGCTTCGTTACCGAGATACAGGGTGTTTTATTTAAAAAAAAGTTTAAATTTGATACTTTTTTGTTACAAAAATAATCATAATAATAAACTGTTTTTAAGCTATAAATAAAAAACTCAATTAAAAAAAAAAAAAACCCTGTATCTCGGAAACGAATCATTTTCGGACACATGTTCATAAAAACTTTTTTTCATACTTGAGAGGAATCTTCCCTGAGCTTTTGGCACCACAAGTCTAAAATACCCTGTATATTACTTATTTTTTAAAACAAAACGATTTGTTAACAAAAAAGATCATTTGTTTTTTATAAATAAATATATTTTTATTAAATAAAAATTTGATTCTTATAAATAAATAACTTATTTATTACGACTAATTGGTTTGGTTTTAATAACCAAAAACAAATTATTAAGTAAATATGACCAAATGTCTTGAAGCTAATCATTTGTTTTTAATAACGTAGCCGTTTGTAAGTCAAATACTGAATAAAGCATTTGGTTATAAAAATGCAGATTTGGTAATAAAAACCATTTTTTTCTCTCAGTGCACTAATAACTCTTAAATTAGTCATTTATGACTAATTCATTTTTAGAGAGTAGGCGTATTAAAAATACCTGACAGAAGTTATATCCAGTAAATATAATTTAAAATATCCTGGATAAACTTTTAAGTAATTATTTTTATTTTTTTTATTTGGACCAATGACAAAAATTAATTTTTTCCCCAAATCAAATTTGGTTCTGTTGAGCAATTTTAAAAAGATATTTTTAACACATAATAAGTAAGTATTATTTTGTATGTTTAATTGTACTAAACATGAGAATATTTAGAAGTAAAAACACATTGCACGTGTATAATCATAGATTTAGAAATCTTAATTAATAATTTAAAAATTTTTAAAAAACCCGTGTTTATAGCTCTAAAAAGTATAAAATAACGCAATATGTGCCATTTTAATAACATTAAGAAATAACAAGTTTTTTTAAACAATAATTTGTTTTTTATTTTTTAGTCTTAAAGTTTAGTTAGTTAGTCTGTTATTTGCATCCGCCATATTGAAATTAGATTGAGGCAACTGCTCGCCAAACCAAAATATATAATCCGCCATCTTGGGGCGGCCACCATATTGGATTTAATTACCTTATTGTGCATTGTCATCCAGTTTTGAGCTATATTTAAAGTTTTAAATCTCTAGGTCATCGTAAAGTAAATTTAAAATCGATTAAACATTTGTACCGAATAGACAGACAGACAAGAAACCGAGTTAAACGTGTTAAAAAACCTGCTTTGTAATAATAATAATAGAATGATATTGGCATTAAAAAAATTGATTTAAATGAATTATTATGTTAGTTAATATACTAATAATAAATATTAATAAATTATTAATTTTTTAGAAATAAAAATCTAAACAATTGGTAGATACTATAGTACTTAATACGTACTGCTTATAGATTAATTATATTTTCATTACATACACATTTAAAAAAAAATTATATTTGCAATATAACTATTGCAGAAAAGAGGCATTTAGAAGAATAGCAATTAAGCTATTATAGCATAGTAACCCAACAAATTAAAAAATTAACAATTAAGGTAATTATTATTATGAACTACGTGTATACCAGGCAAAAGAATTATAAGGTACCAAAACTAAATATCTCATAAACATATATTCTTTTTTTTAAGTATACTTTTAGGTATACCTACCTAGGTAATCTTTTTAAAATAAAGTTCAAATTCAAAAACGATCCAAAACCTTATCAATATTTATTTTTATATCCCTATGTAGGTACATGTAACAATGCTAATCCTACTAGTGTTTCTTCACCTGTATACTGTAGAAGCCCGAAGCCTACAATTTAAAAACTATTCATAGAGGGCGACTTGCATTCATAAATTATATTTGTAGTAATTTTTTTTTCTTAGGACTTCTATCTTGGGGGGTAATTACCCCCATTACCCCCCCTTATCGACGCCCTTGATACCAGGTACATATATACCCACATGGTGCAATGGTGCTTTTT